CGGCACGCTTTCGCCGAGGGTCGAACCTTTGCCCCGAATGGGACCCCAGTGCCGAGTCATCGTCACCCCCGGTCCAGTGGGACAGCGTTATCCACCAGACCGTTCGTTCATCCACAAAGGTGCTTCGTTGAAATGACGGGTTTAAGTTCAACTCCACGAGTTCGACCGGTTCAGAAAAATGTAACTGAGATCGGAGATACGAACCCCTGGCTTGTGACGCACGGGGCCGACTCTCTACCGGCGCGGCTACGACGCCACAATGTGAGTGGCCGGGCGAGCTAGGCTGAAGGCACGAGTCAGCGCAGTAGCTTGAGCGGGAGAAGAACCGGTTCCATCACCACACCCTCTCACCTGACTTTTCGAGACCGACCGCCTGGCTCTTTGACATCGCTGCAATGTTCGAACTGCGAGTCGGGGGTTCTAATACTCGTCGTCAAAGTATTCGTTTTTGAGTTTGAATTTTCTCGTACTGTATCAGAAGCTCGACTAGTCGGCAACCCGCGGTGTGGGGTCGGCGACTCTCGGGTCGGACTAGCCGAGCTTCTTGTACAGTGCGGTCCCCGTGTCAAAGCGGGGTTGGCCCTCATTTTTTTCAGTTTTGATAATTTTGCAGGTAAAATGAATCCGGCTCTAGGAGGTATTTTAACTGTCGGTTGCACGGGGGTGATTAACGTCAAAAGCGTCGTGCCACACTGCTGCACTGCCCGTAAGGCGCTTTGGGTCAGTTGACTCACCGGCAGCCTCCTCTTGCTCGACCTCGGCCTCGGCCTCCTCCTCGCACATGGACTGCTTCTGCTTGACGAGGCGCGGCTTGGAGCCGTGGCTGAGGCACACGCTCGAGGAGCTCGAGTGCTGCGAATCCCCGAGCCCCCCGAGCTGCTGCGGCCGGCTGGCGCTCAGGGAGGGCAGGCCGTGCAGGCTGGGCAGCCCGGGCAGCGTGCCCAGCCCCAGCGCCAGGCTCGGCACGCTGGACCTCGAGCGCACCAGCGACTTGGACGGGCTGCCGCGCTGCGGCTCCGAGCTCAGGATGTCGCTCAGGCTCTTGGACTTGAGGTGCAGCGGCAGCATGTCCCCGTGGTGCGTGGGGCTGAGGGCGCCGCCCCCGCCCGCCTGCGCCCTGCCCGCCGCCGGCTCCAGGTCCTCCTCCAGGCGGCGCAGCTCGATGGGCAGGTCCTGGATGTCGCTGCAGTCCTCGCAGCCCTCGGGCTCGTGGCGCCGCAGCCCCGCGGGGTCCTTGTGCAGCCCGCCCTGCTGCGCCCACGACTCCAGGAACCAGGGCGCGGACCGCTTGCTGCCCGCCAGCTTCTGCAGCGCGCGCCGCACGAACGAGTAGCAGGTCTCATTCGGCGAGGACAGCGACGAGGACGAGTGCGACGCGGACACGGCGCGGCCCGTGTCGATGGACCGACCGTGGCCGTGGTGGCCGCGGTGCCGCCGCCGCCGCTGCTGCCCGCCGCTGGCCGAGCGGCACGAGTCCGAGTCCGAGGTCTGCGTGTAGGCGTGGTAGGGCGGGTGCAGGTCCTCCTCGCTGGTGGTGGTCGTGGAGGTCAGCTCCAGGGAGGGCGTGCTAAGCTGCTGCGGCCGGTGCCAGGGCACGAGCACGTCCTGGGACTCGAACTTTGCCAAAAAGATTTCACGAGTAATAATGAGAACTTAAACTTTCACAGAATGATAAAAACAGAAGGTAGGTGTTAGTGGAGTGTGGTATACCTTTCGGTGACGCTGCTCCATGGCCCAGACAGTGATGATGAGCCTGCCGCCAATGCGGAGCACTCGGGCCAGCTCCCGGATGGCGGACACCCGGCGCTCCGTGGTGGCGAGGTGGTGGACCACGGCCACCGAGAGCACCGCGTCGAAGCATTCGTCGCGGAAAGGGAGCGCGAGGTTGTCGCAGACCAGCACCTGGAGGGGCAACAGCGAGCAGCGCCTTGAAGGGAGGATTTCACGGGGGGAGGAGAACAGAGGACAGGGATAGGGGGCTTAAGCGCGACAAGGGCCGTCCCCGCCGGAGACCATTTCGTAGGCCGCTGGAAGGCGTTTTAGGCCGGCAGGTAGGCAGGCGTAGGCGGGCCGAGGAGCGGGCAAGATTGATGATGTGCCCGGCGTCCACTGGCGGGGGACCGCGGGGTGCGGGGCGGCCCCGGAAGCATTAAAGCGCCGGGTCGGGGCGGCGGCCGGGGGTACGGCCGTACCCCGCGCGCGCGATCAAAACAGATTATGAGGGCTGAGTAGTACGCCATGGCGTGAGGCCGGCCGAGGGGATGACAAAGCCGCGCTCGCTCCGTGACGTCGTTTTGTGGACGCGGCGTGCGGTAGGGCCGGCAGGGCCGGCAGGGCCGGCGGGCGGGGGGCGGCGCGGTGGCGCGGGGCGTGACGTCATGGGAGACGCGTCACGGCGCGGTC